CTTTCTTTCAACACACCGGCCGTTTCCCACCAAGGCAGGGCGGCCCAAAAAGAAAAACGAAAGTTTCTATTAAATTTAGTAATTTATACGGGAGAAGGGGTTACTAGCCCCTTGCTCCCGGCATTTTAGTCGCCTCTTACACACATTAATTACCTTAAAATATTTTCATCCTTAGTTAACAGCGAGTGGTGAAAATATTTATTGTAGGAAGTCTGAATAAATGAAGAATGGATATAACTGAAAACCGCTGTATAGTGGTACCCAGAGTTTCAGCCATAATTTGTTCCAGAAGGCTGTTCAAGTGCCGTTACCGAATGAATTTGCTCCCATAAGGAATAATGTAAATTAGATTAGTCCATTTCAGACCCCCAAAAATACACTTACATAATTGTTAGAGTTGGGAGCTGTACTAAATCGAGGTACCACTGTATCAGAGAAACGCTGAAAGCAAAGCACTGTGAAGTGGGGGCCTGCCTGCACATCATATACATTCTTTCTCTTTTAAAGTCTTTAGAAGTGACTGACCTTGCCTTTTATTCTGGGTGCCTTGGATAATTTTGCAATTGTTAGGTGAGGATGCAGCTCTCGAGTGTCTGGCATACACACACCCTTCTCCAAGAACACAGTGCGAGTGTGTTCAGCTACGTCCATCAGTCGCTGGTACTGCTCATCCTCCACTAACTGTCCAAAAACCACCTGAAAACCATTTATCATCATGGAAAAGAATGGCAGGAACATCAGGCTAAATTAAGTAGAAACTCTATATGACAGATTTTTAAAACAATAGGAAAAGTCTACTGGGTAAATTGTATTTTCAACTACAGTGGACCCCCGGTTTACGATATTATTTCATTCCAGAAGTATGTTCAGGTGCCAGTACTGACCGAATTTGTTCCCATAAGAAATATTGTGAATTAGATTAGTCCATTTCAGACCCCCAAACATACACATACAAACGCACTTACATAATTGGTCGCATTGGGAGCTGATCGTAAACCGGGGGTCCACTGTACTTTAATTTCAATGTTTATTGCACACCTCTGACAAGACAGTGATGGAGTGAGCGATGATGAAAGTGTTTCTTTTTCAGGTCACCCAGCCTTGGTTGGAAACGATCAGCATTTTAAACAACTGTAAACTGTGTTTACTGTACTATATTAGTATAGAGCAGAGTACTTAAGTGTCTTTTTTATATATTTTATAACATTATTCTGATCTAAAGGTCACTCAACAATCCCCCCTCCTCATTAGTCCATTATAGCAAGGGTTCACTGTATTCATAGTGATACTTACATTTTTGTAATAACACCTATATTGAACAATATCCATTGTTTTTATATAAACTTTAACCCTTAAACGGTCCAAACAAATCGACGTTCAAATTCGTAGCTACAAAAGCAGATCTACTTTTTTTTTTACATATTTTCAAATATAACAAAAACAAAAATGTAGATAAAAGTTTTTTTTTACACGTTTTCAAATGTAAAACAAAAAAGAAGATCTACATTTTTTTACACACTTTCAGATGTTGAAAAAAAGTATATATACGTTTGGACCGTTTACGGGTTAATCAAAGTGTTAAACCTATGTGGATCACACATAGAAATTTGAAGTTCACAATTTTTTTCTTAACACATCAGCTGTCTCTTCTCCATGGGGAAATGAAACAATTCTTCCTCCATAGGCCATGCATGTTGTAAGAGGCGACTAAAATGCTGGGAGCAAGTGGTTAGTAACTCCTCCTCCTGTATATATTACTAAATTTAAAATAAGAAACTTTCCTTTTTCCTTCTGGGCCACCCTGCCTCTGTGGGATATGGCCGGATGGTTGAAAGAAGATTGGCTGTCTCCCACCAAGGCAAGGTGACCCGAAAAATAACGAGTTTTTCTTCTTTTTACATTTAGCAATTTCTACAGGAGAAGGGGTCTCTAGCACCTTACTTCTGGCATTTTAGTCGCTTCTTATGGCACACATGGCTTACGGAGGAAGGATTCTTCTCCGCTTCCCCATAGAGGCAAGATTTATTTATTTTACATATAGTCCAGAGACAAAGCAAGGATCAGTAGTCCTGCCAAAGTGCAAAACATTTAACAAGGTACATCAAAGAACATTATCTCTGTAATAACATCTGTATAATCCTACGGGTTTAGCACTCCCCCCATGATTATAATAATAATAATCTGTAATAACACATGCACAAGATGTTGCAATTGAAACCTTCACTTAAGTCTGTGTTACATGTAGCAGTTCCACCACTTGCCACCCTGTACTTCACTCCTTTCCCTACCAAACTACTACTATTACTATGACTATTATTACTACTAATACTCACTCTATATTTTCACTTCTAATACACCGATATCCAAAGAGTATGAGCTAACCTCCCTTCCTTCATTGAGTCAATCCTGATTACCTTCCAGTCCTCAGGTGCTGTATGACCCATACTTTTTCATCTTAACACGCTGATCGTCTCTCACTGAGGCAGTGACCGCAAAAAGAAACACTCACCATCACCCACACTATCACTGTCTTGTCAGAGGCATGGAGATATGACAGTTTAGCTGTCACTCTAAACAGCAGATATCCCACACCCCTCCTTTAGTGCCGGCATTGTACTTCCCACCTCCAGGACTCAAGTCTGGCTAACCATGCGGGTTTATCAATTTCCCATGAATATAATATTAAAGAAACGTACTCTAAAGATAACACAAGTTACAAGCACTCGGTTGTCAAAGACAGCCCCTGTCGTCTAAACTGGTTAACAAAGACACAAGACAAGTAGTACTCATGGTGGTACTTCCAGCGCACTCTGATTACGTAGATCACTGTCCTCATAGAAGTACAGTGGACCCCGCATAACGATTACCTCCGAGTGCGACCAATTATGTAAGTGTATTTATGTAAGTGCGTTTGCACGTGTATGTTTGGGGGTCTGAAATGGACTAATCTACTTCACAATATTCCTTATGGGAACAAATTCGGTCAGTACTGGCACCTGAACATACTTCTGGAGTGAAAAAATATCGTTAACCGGGGGTCCACTGTAAAATACGTTCAGTGTGCAACACATATGTACAAAGGTTAAGCCTGCCTGAAATGCCTTGGCATGATAGTGGCTTTCTTCGTACCAATTAAATTATGAAATGTAAAAATACATTGCAACCTTTGCAAAGAAATAAACTTTGTTTGTATAAGAAAAGATATAAAATTAACGAACAATGAAAGCCATAAACAAAAATGCTCAACATAGAGAAATACTGTCATTTTATTTATTTTTTTTTTTATCACACTGGCCGATTCCCACCAAGGCAGGGTGGCCCGAAAAAGAAAAACTTTCACCATCATTCACTCCATCACTGTCTTGCCAGAAGGGTGCTTTACACTACAGTTTTTAAACTGCAACATTAACACCCCTCCTTCAGAGTGCAGGCACTGTACTTCCCATCTCCAGGACTCAAGTCCGGCCTGCCGGTTTCCCTGAATCCCTTCATAAATGTTACTTTGCTCACACTCCAACAGCACGCCAAGTATTAAAAACCATTTGTCTCCATTCACTCCTATCAACCACGCTCATGCATACCTGTTGGAAGTCCAAGCCCCTCGCACACAAAACCTCCTTTACCCCCTCTCTCCAACCTTTCCTAGGCCGACCCCTACCCTGCCTTCCTTAAATACTGTCATATCAAGTTATAATAACGAGCATCAACGACAAGAGACAGTGACATGGCACCATCAATGACGTGAATTTCACTGCCCGGTTAAGAGTGATGTGGCACCATCAATGACATCAGCTTCTCTGTCTGGTTAAGCACTGGCAAGCAGTACCTACAATAACTGCACGAGTGGTCACATGGGCACGTCTTGTCTCACCTTCATGTGTTAATGTGACTTGTAAATGGTCCAAGTTGGACCAAAACATCATCTTAAGCTCTCTTTCTCTCTCTTTCTCTCTTTCTCTCTCTCTCTCTCTTTCTCTCTCTCTCTCTTCTCTCCCTCTTTCTCTTCTCTCTGCTCTCCTCTCTCTCTCCTTCTCCTCTTCTCTCTCTCTCTCTCTTCTCTCTCTCTCTCTCTTTCTCTCTCTCTCTCTCTCTCTCTCTCTCTCTCTCTTTCTCTCTCTCTCTCTGTTCTCTCTCTCTCTGTCTCTCTCTCTCCTCTCTCTCTCTCTCTTCCTCTCCTTTCTCTCTTCTCCCCTCTCTTCTCTCTCTTTCTCTCTTTCTCTTCTCTCTTCTCTCTCTCTCTCTCTCTCTCTCTCTCTCTCTCTCTCTCTCTCTCTCTCTCTCTCTTTCTCTATCTCTCTCTCTTTCTCTTTCTCTCTCTTTCTCTCTCTCTTTCTCTCTCTCTTTCTCTCTCTCTCTCTCTCTCCTATGTGCAGGTTATATGTGTACATATACATGTATATATATATATATAACCCCTTCTCCTGTATAAATTACTAAATTTAAAAAGAGAAACTTTTGTTTTTCTTTTTGGGCCACCCTGCCTTGGTGGGATACGGCCAGTTTGTTGAAAGAAAGAAGAAAGATACACTATATTTTTTTTTTCAACAAACCGGCAGCATCCCAACAAGGCAGGGTGGCCCAAAAAAGAAAAACGAAAGTTTCTCTTTTTAAATTTAGTAATTTATACAGGAGAAGGGGTTACTAGGCCCTTGGTCCCGGCATTTTAATCGCCTTTTACAACACGCATGGCTTACGGAGGAAGAATTCTGTTGGAACAGAATTCTTCCTCCGTAAGCTATGCGTATTGTAAGTGGCGACTAAAATGCCAGGAGCAAGGGGCTAATTACCCTTTTTGTATAAATTACTAAATTTAAAAAGAGAAACTTTTGTTTTCCTTTTCAGGTCACCCTGCCTTGGTGGGATGCAGCTGGTGCATTGAAAAAAAAAATACAGTGGTACCTCGAATTTCGAACAGCTCCCAATTCGAACAATTATTTAAGTGTATTTTTGTAAGTGCTTTTGTAAGTGTATTTTTGCGTGTCTGAAACGGACTAATGTAATTTACAGTATTCCTTATGGGAACAAATTCGCTCAGTAACGGCATTCGAACAGCATTCTGAAAAGAATTAAGGCTGAAATTCGGGGTACCACTGTATATCTATCAACAATTTTTAACACTTGTGACCCAAAGTTCTACAAAATACATTATGCAGTTACTATTCTTAAAATAAATTTAAATATAAATTTTAAGGCATAGTTTTTTCTCTCTAAACTTACGAAAGGTAGACTCAACAAACACTCAAACTCACCTGGTTAGAAAAATGACTCACTCCAGAGAATGTCAATCTAACTGGCTTCTCAGTCATGACATCCATTAATTTGGTGCCACACTCATCCAGTGCTGACTGGGCACTATTTTAAAATGGAGAAAACAGAACATTTACTCTAGCAGAGGATTTAAAGCCTCGGCTAAAACTGATCATTGAGTATGGCTGACAATACAGATTCTCAACTAACAAGCGAGTTGCAGTACTGATTTTCTTTAATTCACAAAGAGCTGTTTGCACAGAAAAAATAGTAGGACAATTACGGTTATATTTTACATAAAAATTTACCATATCAAAACAAGCTAAGTAGTAGTAATTATAAAGGGAGTTGTTGCAGTTAAAGAGGTGGGGACAAGGAAGTAAATTGGAAGTAAGGAAGAATTATTGACATTTATAAAAAATATTTTAAACGAGTGAAAAATGAATCAAAGTAAAAGGTAGTCTGAAGACAGAGGTAAAAAAAAAAAAAATGGGGAATTAAACTCACATTTGGAGAGCCTCATCAGTATCTATGTAAGCTACCAGCAGAGTGAGGTGAGATGTAGCGGCATCAATAAATGACCTCATCAGAGATTTGTCGTATGCTAACATTTCTTCCTGGACCTTGACGATTGCCTGGTGAATCTGTGGACAGTTATCAGAAATTAAATAACAGGCCACACGAATATGTATTAACTCTAAGGGACTGAAGGAAGGGTAGGGAGCCATCCCAAGGAGAGTTGGAGGGAGGAGGTGAAGGTTTTGAGTGCCAAGGTATTGAACATCCAGCAAGCTTGTGTGAGTGCATTAGATAGGAGTGGAGACAAGTAGTTTTTGACTTGATGTGCTGTAGGAGTGAGAGCAAAGTATCATTTATTAAGGGATTAAGGGAAACTGGTTAGCTGGACTTGAGTGCTGGAGGTAGGAAGGGTACTGGTCAGCACACTTCTGGAAAGATGGCAACTAAATGAAAGATGGCAAATATGCTTTCTTTTTTTGGTCACCCTGCCTTAGTAGGAGACAATCATTGAGGTTAAACCTCCCCCCCATTAGTCCATTAAATCAAGGTTTATTAATGGCTCTAGGGATCACTGTCCCCATTAACTGGTCTGATAAATTGAAAAAAAAATATATTACAACAATAAGAACTATTAAGAAGCACTTCCCATGGGGAAGTGGAACAGAATTCTTCCTCCGTAAGCCATGCGTGTCATAAGAGGTGACTAAAATGCCAGGAGCAAGGTGCTAGTAAGCCTTTCTCCTGTATACATTACTGAAGTTAAAAAGAGAAACTTTTGTTTTTCTTTCTGCCTCGTTGGGATACGGCAGGTTTGTTGAAAGAAGAAGAAATGTATACTGAATGTAAATAGAAGCTTGTGTGATAAATGGAAAATTATTAATAATAATAATTATAATAATATTTATTGCTACAAGTCCATGTTACAACTTGTACAGACCAGAGCCAACATCAGTGACATACTCTATAGAAAGCCTCTGGTTATGCACAGCATTTTGGGCAATTTAGGTTAATTTTGTACCCAGGGGTTGCATCCTGGGTACAAAATTAACCTAAATTACAAATTTAACAATAGGTAAACAAACTATACCATGGGCGGCAATAGAATCCCCTTTGAGGGGACTTGAGCTAGAGTTCGTCATGGCCACGCTAGCTGAAGATTCGTCTGTAAAAACTTGCATTTGTGGTCACAGTGGTGCCTATGCTAACCTTCCTATGGTGTAGAAATATACCTAGTTGGACGAATCTTATTGTGGCTAGCTGGTCCAGTGGCTAATGCGACGGTCTGGAGTTTTGAGACTCTGATCGCGGATTCTATCCCCACCTGTGGTATGGTTTGTTTGCAATCTTGTCATTACGATTTCTTGAGTCAAGTTACAATAGGTACCAGGGTGTTACCCAGTTGGGTAACACTCAGGTACGTATTGTCTGCTAAGTGAACAGTGCCAGCAGGTGTATCGAGGAAACACCCCAATGTTCTCACTCGTACCGGGGATCAAACCACGGACCTCGGTGTGTGAGCCGAGTGTGCTACCAACCCAGCTTGCACAGCTATGGGCTTTAACTTTTCAAAATATAACATCTACCATTTTTACTACTGAACCACTATACATTACACTTTAGTTATGGTGATACCATTCCCAAAATAAACCTCCTCTCTAGCCTCTACAATAAACAACCTCAGCGGAAATAAGTTATTTTAACTTTTTTGGGGTTATCCTAGGTAATTTACACACATGTAACTTCTCTCAACGAACTGGCCATATCCCACCAAGACAGGGTGCCCCAAAAAGAAAAAGAAAAGTTTCTCGTTTTAAATTTAGTAACATATACAGGAGAAGGGGTTACTAGCTTCTTGCTCCTGGCATTTTAGTCACTTCTTATGACACCTATGGCTTATGGAGGAAGAATTCTGTTCCACTTCCTCATTGAAATAAGAGGAAATTAACAAGAACGAAAACTAGTGAGAAAATAGAAGAAAACCCAGAGGGGTATGTACATGCATGTGTAGTGTGACCTTGGTATAAATAGAAGCAGCAAGACATCATACCTGAATCCTTGCATGTTTATGAGACAAAAAAATGACACCAGCAATCCTACCATCATGTAAAACAAGTACAGGTTTCCATTTCACACTCTACTGGTAGGACAGAAGTACCTCCCTGGGTGGCTACTGTTTACCAACCTACTTCCTAGGACATATGTAACTATGTATGATAATTGTCTTTATGTGTACCTGTACCTACATAAACTTACACCACACAGACACATTAGCATTCAGCTATGATGCCAGATCATCGTGTAAACACTACAATGACATCGGTGCACTGCTACAGTCATTATACATTAACTTCACGTTCATTATTTATTCACAAACATTGATATGATACAAGAGATTCTAGAAAAATAGCCAAATTGACACTAAACCCTCCATTTAATGGCCTTCAGAAATACTGAATAAAATCCGCTGGGTCACTAGACCTGGAAACAGAGGACAGAGTCTGTTGGTCGCAGAATTGCTCATTATTATTACGATCATGACAAAACAATCTTGTCTCTTTCCACCACAATTACCATTACTGGTCACCTGCTTCCATCAGTCCATTATTTGGAGGATTTGCTGTACAGCAAGATGGTAATTGCAGAGGAGTTTTTATTGGTACGTTTCAACACAAATCAGATTTATCTGTATGTGATAAAGCCAATTTGTGGCAAAGCATTGTACCAATAAAGATTAAGCTGCAATTAATGACTTATTCATCATAATATACATGATTATTATTGAGCATTGACAAATGTTCTTTAGATTTTATTTAGTTATTCATAATACAACAGATGTATACAACTTGGGTGTTCCGTGGCCTGGTAGTCAATGCTTTTGCCTCACCCACTGAGTGTCCATGGTTCAATCCCTGGCTAGGTGGAAACACTGGGTGTGCTTCCCTACACCTGTTGTCCCTGTTCACCTAGCAATTAGGTATCTGGGTGTTAGTTTACTGGTGTGGGCCACATCCTGGGGGGACAAGACTGAGGACCCCAATGGAAATAAGACAGACAGTCCTTGATGACACACTGACTTCCTTGGGTTATCCTGGGGTTACTAACCCTCCTGGGTTAAAAATCCCAAGAAAATCTTAGCTTACCCGCATCCACAGCAATTAATAACTTCAGACCGGAGGGACTTGTGCCCCTTCCTTTCGCTGCCAAGATTTGGCCAATATTTCCTCTTCAGACACCTGGTAACAGAGCTCAATACATCAGCCATCAGTGGCCCTTCAAGCTCAACAAGAAGCCATGGGCCTCTCGACCCGACATAAGGATACCACATGAATACCTCAACTGTCTCAAACTAGAAAAAAAATTAATAGCAGATCTATGGTACTTACATCAGCATTAGTTATCTGGATTCCTAAGAAAAAGTTCGGTCTGAGGGTCTTGTTAGCATCACCATCTGCATTCTCTACAGCTTTCTTCTGTTTCTTCTTTTTCTTTTTCTCATCTTTGGACTGTTTATTTTTGCTTTTTTTACAAGGGGGCACAGATTCTTCAATTTTATCTAGGACTTTTCCAGAATCAATAGGAGTTGCACTTTCTTCAAATTTCTCAAGATCATCATCAGGAAATACCTGACTGCTACTTAGTGACTCGCACTCAGTTTCAAAGATGCCCGATGAAAAATTTCCACTCTCTGCTAAGGAAACATCCTGGTCTAAACTTTCCGTCAAAGACACATCTTGGTCAAGACTATCTAGTGACAAACTCTTGTTTAGTGACAAATTTGATCCCTGCATTCCAAAAGCACCCTTATTAAAATATTTACGCACACTGGCAGGGGAACAAGAATCTAATGTGCTTTTATTTGTCAATTCCTGTTTAGATATATTTTTATTAGATATATGTTCGTTATCTTCTAACACTGTATGGCCAAGTTCTGAAGGCTCAAGCTCCTTGTGTTGTGAGCGACCCATCGTACCCAGGTCATTATCACCATTGGCACTTCCGCCTATTCTATCTTCTTGGACGTGTTTTGCGTTTAATGACACTGATGGAGATGCCATTTCTTCTTCAGGCTGCTGGCAAACATTACTGCTCTCTTGTAGAGACTTCTTGGGTGGGGGAGTCATACCGGTGTCACTTGCTGAGTCAGTCTCTCTCTCTCTTTTCTGCTTCCTAGCCAAAATATTTTCATTCTCTTCACTGACATTTTCTCTTTCTGAATCAAAATTATTTTCCATTGTTCTTGCAAATTTGGGGAGAACTGAGAACTGTGTTTTCCAAGATGCAGAAAACTCACAGATAATTAGAGACTGGTGTTTAGGGTGTGGAACAATCTTGGTGTTGAATGAAACTGACGAATTTCTTCTTAGTGGATAACTGTGTCGATCAAGATGTCCTCCAGTCCAGCAATACACTGGCAACTGTGCAACTGAAAATGGTAAATATGATTTAAAATTTAAGAAAAACAATGAAGTCTTCATTCACATTTCCCAATTCTGTGACTGTCATATTTAGGCAAAAGAGGTAAAAGAAAAAATATTAAAAATGAAAAGCTTAATGGAACAGAGTTATGGAAAAATAAATAAAGGGTTTGGAACCAATATAAGATGGTCAGCGCAGCTTCGATAAAAATAAATAAAAATTTTGAGAATTTAATAAATATTTTTTAAAATTCTTGAAACACTAAAAAACTAGTGCCAGCCAGCAGGGCAGCCGGGATTTCATTCTGAGAGGCGGCTAAAGGGGCTTAAAAATGATGAGATTTTTTAAAAGTTTAAATAATTTTTAAAAAGATCATTTTTAGAATGAAGAGTAGAATCCTCCAATTCATGGATTTAGTTTCCAGTTTCGGTTATCCATGGTTTACCGTGGCCTGAAACAAACCTTAAATTTTGCTTAATAAGGATACCAAAGCACAAAAGTAGTGATGGAAGTTCTTCAAAGCCTAAGAGAAGCTGTGAAGCACTTCTCATCAGTGAAAAAGTGATAATTCTCTAATAATTGTTTGTAATTTATCAAACTTTAAATGAATAACGACTTGCATACAGGGTTCGCTATTATCCACAGTTTCAGGTAGCCATAGTAGGTCTTGGAACGTATCCCTCCCACAGGTACGAGGGAGCTACTATGTGTGAAAATTCTTTAACTATAGTTCCTTTGTGGCTATAATACATTTTGAAAAAAAAAAAAATGAAAATTACCATGGGAGTGTTTATGCCCCTTAGCCTCCCCGTGTGGCTGTACTACTAGTTCCAGCAATTATATTTCAGCCAATCTTGTGGTAGGTTCTAGAGACGAGTTTTAAGCTCTGAACTCACACAGCAGTACACACTGCTAATGTTGAAGGATTCACAGTCTTGTGTCACTGGCAAACCTATAATGCTTGGAAACCAATAAAAACTAGTTGAAACTACAGGGTATTTCTTTGTGATGTCACTATGTTTACAGTATATTAGTCTTATCAAATGACATTTCGTAGTCTGTGACATGATGATGGTCATACCTCTGACGAGTTTCGAGAGTCTACTCCTGGAGCCTGGCCATGGTATTGCGACTTTTTATTCTATCATATTTCTTAGCTTAGGGGTTTGGTTAAGCTATTTGTGGTATCTTGCCTGATATTTTGGAGTTTGTTGGGGTATTTTGTGTAAATAATGTGAACTGTCAGTGTAATCACGTTTCATTAAGTGGCTTAAATAGTAGTGTGTCTGGATCACAGCATTACAGTACAGCCTCTCCTTACTTTTAATGATGGGGTTCCATTGGTCATTAAGTCAGAAGCATACTATACTGGTAGTGGATTTGTGTCAACCATCTTTAGATATTTTTTTAATATCATCTTTGCACCATTTATAACATTTCTGGAATATTTTAAATGTTTATACAGTAATGTACTATACAGTGGACCCCCGGTTAACGATACTTTTTCACTCCATAAGTATGTTCAGGTGCCAGTACTGACCGAATTTATTCCCATAAGGAATATTGTGAAGTAGATTAGTCCATTTCAGACCCCCAAACATACACGTACAAACGCACTTACATAAATACAGTTACATAATTGGTCGCATTCGGAGGTAATCGTTATGCGGGGGTCCATTGTATACTGTAATAAACAGAATAGTGGAATTCAGCTCTAATATACATTATTTAGGTTTGCATACTGGATGGAGAGCTGGTCGTAAGTCTGAGCGGTAGGTAAATGAGCGTGTCGCTAAGCGAGGAGAGGCTGTAGTTTCGATTAAAAGTGTGATAATTTATGTGTTTTAGCTAAAAAATATGCACAAATATAATGTTTTCACATTCAGGATGAGTAGAAACACTGGCAACCATACGCCTGCTGTCCCTGTTCAACTGGGTGAGTGCTGGTCAACTGTTGTGGGTGGCATCCTGGGGAAGAGACTCGTAAGATCTCGGTACAAATAAGCCATGTTGCTTGGGTTTTTCTGAATTATCTTGGGCTATTCTGAATTATTAAACCTCAGGTAAATAGCCCATATTGAATAGTTATATTTATTTTAGGTAAGCCATATACATAAGCTTAATGCCAAAATTAGTTACACGTGTCCCTAATACAGTCAGTAATTCTGCCAGTATTATTATCCTAAATAATTTACACATGTTACTATTTAAGATAATTATAATTATCCCCCCAAAAAATAGCCTCTTCGAGAATTCAAGTTCTTGAATTGAATGTCATCTAATGTAAAAATCTTTACCTATAAGCTTATTAAACTTTAACCCAAATAATTTTTCCTCATAATCATGTCAAATATATTTAATTTATTTATATATTCATTATATACGCTAATTTAATTTTATTTGTACAGGCCAAATATATTACAGCTGATTTCCTTTATTTTGTACAGTATACAGTATACTACTGTATAAATACAGTGGACCCTCGAATTTAGTCCTGCCTTTTCTGTATGCAAAACTATTTTTATCTATAAAATGTATTTTTTGTTAATATTTTTGGGTGTCTGGAATGGTTTAATTGGATTTACATTATTTCCTATGGGAAATATTAACAAAAAATACATTTCAAAGATAATAAAAATAGTTTTGCATACAGAAAAGGCACGACTAAATTCGAGGGTCCACTGTATTTAAAAATATATTAAAAATGTTATAAATGGTGCAAATGTGACATTAAAACAGTAACTAAAGATGGTCGACACACACCCACGGTAGAGTACGCTCCTTGCTTACCGACCAATTCGCTTAACCCTTTCAGGGTCCAAGGCCCAAATCTGGAGTCACGCACCAGTGTCCAAGAATTTAAAAAAAAAAAATTTGTTATTTTTTCTTATGAAATCGTAGAGAATCTTTTTCTGAAGGTAATAAAACAAAAAGTACGAAATTTGGTGGAAAATTGACGAAATTATGCTCTCGCGAATTTTGATGTGTCAGCGATATTTACGAATCGGCGATTTTGCCGACTTTGACTCCCATTTTAGGCCAATTACATTATTCCAATCAACCAAATTCTATCGATTGAGCACAAGAAATCGCCAAGTCAACTGTTTCAACTACAAAATAAAGTGATCGGAAATTGTTAATTTGGCCAATTTAACACAAAGTTCAAAATATTCCAATTTCAAAATAGGGTTCAGAATGAACAATGTAGGCATTCCTGGCACTAAACTAACATTTCCTCTGTTCATTAGTTATGTTTTGAGGCTTTACAAATAAATTCCATTTTGATTTTTTATTCACATAATGAATTTTTATTCACACCAAAAAATAGAAGACTTACTGTTATGCAATACTGTAATAATTGTATAAATATCATCACCATATTTGTGAATATATATTAGACCCACCAGCTGACGTGTATTAGACGTGTGAGGTCGTTTGTTTACTCTTGAATATCGGCAAAAATTTAACATTTCTGCTACTTTGAGCTCAGTTTCAAGCCATTTCCTGTGCTAAAACCAATCAAAATCATCTCTATTTCTGTAATATGTCTTCCATTCTATCAAATGAGACCAAGAAATCGCAAATACAACTATAAAAAACATACGAAAAAACACTGCAAAGTTGCTGTTTTAATCGAAAAATCATGATTTCATTTTTTTACTCTCATTATACACAGTGTGCTGCAGGATGTGTTTTATGTGGTGCACACATACCACATAGATGTATTCTCTCATATCTAGGCCCAAATGTACCACTCACAGTTTATCAGAGTGAGCTGAGCTCATGGCGTAGATCTACGGTTTGGACCCTGAACGTAAAGCCGTAGATCTACGGGACGGACCCTGAAAGGGTTAACGATCTAGTCGTATTATTATTTTAATAAAAAAGAAGTGCTAACCCTATAAGGGTCATACAATGACCTAGTAGGTTGTAGGAACGGAACTCGGTCGTTAAGTGAGGAGTGCCCGTATACATTTAATGTCTGAAAAAACATACAGTGGACCCCCGCCTAACGATCAGCTCCCAACTCGACCAATTATGTAAGTGTATTTTTGTAGGTGTATTTTTGGGGGTCTGAAGTGGACTACGTAATCTAATTCACAATATTTCTTATGGGAACAAATTCGGTCTATTCCGGCACCCAAACAGACTTCTGGATTGAAATAATATTGTTAGACGGGGGTCCACTGTTTATGTTATGTTTATTGTCCTTGTAGTCTTAAGTTAGGCTTAAGCCTAACCATGAGCTTTTTACATTTATTCAACTGTCACCCGTTCCTGTATAAACAATGTAGGTATTGTCAAAATAAACTTTTAATAATAAATAAATTTATTTTCAGACCTCGCCTGCTGTAAGTCAGTAAGTTTAGGTACAGGAACAATACCTGCACTCTGAAGGAAGGGTAGAGATATGTTGCAGTGTTTGAACTCTAGTATTGGATGGAGAGTAATGATGAAAGTGTTCTTTCTTTCTCCAGTCGCCCTGCCTCGGTGTGAAACGACCGACGTGTTAATAAAAAAAAAAATAGGCACATACCTGGAGCATACCTGGAGAGGGTTTCAGGGGGTCAACGCCCCCACGGCTTGGTCTGAGACCGGGCCTCGTGGTGGATCAGGGTCTGATCAACCAGGCTGTTACTGCTGGGCATAAGTACAATTATCATACACAGTGTAAATTCCTGACCAGGATAACCCAAAAACCGTAAAAGTGACTCATTTCCATCGGGGTCCTCGGCTGTACCAGCTAGAACAGCAAAAATCAACCCTTTCCTGGTATGCTCACACAAGCGGTAAACCTGTAAGGTCCATACAGCATATACAGATTGAGAGGCAGTCAGGTTTGATCCGAGGAAGAGGGGGGTAGCTCCAATTCCTCGGCTTAAGAGACCTTCACCAGCATCATAGCACCCACTAAGTTTTATTTAGGCATTAGGAACATAACACACAATATTTTGTACGATGGACTTTAAGGCGGCAATTACTATGGCTTCATACTGTGTGCAGTATGGAGATTTAACCTTAGATAACCCGAGATAACCTAGGATAACCCAAGGTCCACAATGGAATTAAGTCACATCGACTTTAAGGTTATCCTGCTGGGTAATTTACACGCGTTAAACTACGTATGATAACTGTATTCGTGTGTACATGTACCTCAATAAACTTACTGATAACCTACTTACTCACCTAGGATAACCCAGGATAACCAGACAACCCATGATAATCCAAGATAACTGAACCCATGATAACCTAGGATAACCCAAGATAACCAGACAATCCATGATAACTTAGAATAACCCAAGATAACCAAACATAAACCAAGATAACTGGACAACCTACAATATAACTGGACAACCCAAGATAACCAGACAACCCATGATAACCAGACAACCCAAGATAACCGGACAACCCATGATAACCAGATAACCCAAGATAACCGGACAACCCACGATAACCAGACAACCCAAGATAACCGGACAACCCATGATAACTTAGGATAATTGGACAACTCATGATAACCAGACAACCCATGATAACCAGACAATCCATGATAACCGGACAACCCATGATAACTTAGGATAACCGGATAACCCATGATAACCGGACAACCTATGATAACTGGACAATCCATGATAACTGGACAACCCAAGACAACCCAGGATAACCTGACAACCCATGATAACCAGACAACCCATGATAACCGGACAACCCATGATAACCAGACAACCCATGATAACCGGACAACCCATGATAACTGGACAACCCATGATAACTGGACAACCCATGATAACCAGACAACCCAGGATAACCAGACAATCCATGATAACCTGACAACCCATGATAACCGGACAACCCATGATAACCGGACAACCCATGATAACCAGACAACCCATGATAACTGGACAACCCATGATAACGAGACAACCCAAGACAACCCAGGATAACCTGACAACCCATGATAACTGGACAACCCATGATAACCAGACAACCCATGATAACCAGACAACCCATGATAACCTGACAACCCAAGACAACCCAGGATAACCTGACAACCCATGATAACCAGACATCCCATGATAACCAGACAACCCATGATAATCAGACATCCCATGATAACCAGACAACCTATAATAACCAGACAACCCATGATAACCAGACAACCCAGGATAACCTGACAACCCATGATAACCAGACAACCCATGATAACCAGACAACCCATGATAACCAGACAACCCATGATAAAAAGACAACCCATGATAACCTGACAACCCATGATAACCAGACAACCCATGATAACCTGACAACCCATGATAACCAGACAACCCAGGATAACCAGACAACCCATGATAACCAGAAAACCCATGATAACCGGACAACCCATGATAAACAGACAACCCAGGATAACCAGACAACCCATGATAACCGGACAACCCATGATAACCAGACAACCCATGATAACCAGACAACCCAGGACAACCAGACAACCCAGGATAACCAGACAACCCATGATAACCAGACAACCCAGGATAACCAGACAACCCAGGATAACCAGACAACCCAGGATAACTAGACAACCCATGATAACCAGACAACCCATGATAACCAGACAACCCAGGATAACCAGACAACCCATGATAACCAGACAACCCAGGATAACCAGACAACCCATGATAACCAGACAACCCATGATAACCAGACAACCCATGATAACCAGACAACCCAGGATAACCTGACAACCCATGATAACCAGACAACCCAAGACAACCCAGGATAACCAGACAACCCAGGATAACCAGACAACCCATGATAACCAGACAACCCATGATAACCGGACAACCCAGGATAACCGGACAACCCATGATAACCAGACAACCCATGATAACCAGACAACCCATGATAACCAGACAACCCAGGATAACCAGACAACCCAGGATAGCCAGACAACCCATGATAACCAGACAACCCAGGATAACCAGACAACCCATGATAACCAGACAACCCATGATAACCAGACAACCCAGGATAACCAGACAACCCAGGATAACCAGACAACCCATGATAACCAGACAACCCAGGATAACCAGACAACCCAGGATAACCAGACAACCCATGATAACCAGACAACCCAGGATAACCAGACAACCCATGATAACCAGACAACCCAGGATAACCAGACAACCCATGATAACCAACAACCCAGATAACCAGACAACCCATGATAACCAGACAACCCATGATAACCAGACAACCCATGATAACCAGACAACCCAGGATAACCAGACAACCCATGATAACCAGACAACCCAGGATAACCAGACAACCCAGGATAACCAGACAACCCATGATAACCAGACAACCCATGATAACCAGACAACCCAAGACAACCCAGGATAACCAGACAACCCAGGATAACCAGACAACCCATGATAACCAGACAACCCATGATAACCGGACAACCCAGGATAACCAGACAACCCATGATAACCGGACAACCCATGATAACCGGACAACCCAAGACAACCCAGGATAACCAGACAACCCAGGATAACCAGACAACCCATGATAACCAGACAACCCATGATAACCAGACAACCCAAGACAACCCAGGATAACCAGACAACCCAGGATAACCAGACAACCCATGATAACCAGACAACCCATGATAACCGGACAACCCAGGATAACCAGACAACCCATGATAACCAGACAACCCATGATAACCGGACAACCCATGATAACCAGACAAACCATGATAACCGGACAACCCAGGATAACCAGACAACCATGATAACCAGACAACCCATGATAACCGGACAACCCATGATAACCGGACAACCCAGGATAACCAGACAACCCATGATAACCAGACAACCATGATAACCGGACAACCCATGATAACCGGACAACCCAGGATAACCAGACAACCCATGATAACCAGACAACCATGATAACCGGACAACCCAGGATAACCAGACAACCCATGATAACCGGACAACCCATGATAACCAGACAACCATGATAACCGGACAACCCAGGATAACCAGACAACCATGATAACCGGACAACCCATGATAACCGGACAACCCAGGATAACCAGACAACCATGATAACCGGACAACCCATGATAACCGGACAACCCAGGATAACCAGACAACCATGATAACCAGACAACCATGATAACCAGACAACCCATGATAACCAGACAACCCAACCGGACAACCCATGATAACCGGACAACCCAGGATAACCGGACAACCCATGATAACCAGACAACCCATGATAACCAGACAACCCAGGATAACCAGACAACCTACAATACCCTCTCACACTCTCATAATTACAAGCTACCAGCACTCGTCTCACTATAAAACAAACACTCATAACAACACTTACATCAACGTTCACTTGGTCTTCGTCTCTCACACAAAACTTACCTCGTAAAATAAGATTTATTTGTGGAAATTTACCATAATGGTGGCAGACGGCCATGACACCCGGTGTCCCATCCTCCGTGACCACGACTTCGGCTCGCACTTCAACTTTTAAATTTGCATTATTAGTATATTTGTATATGATAATTAAATACAACTACTTAATAAATAAAAATAATGTATTATTGATATAATTAATATAACATATGATTATATATATTTTAAAAGAAATTTTTATTTTAAGGTAAGCCTTCGGACATATTGTTTACTATGAGATATTTAAAAAAATTTAGTTAATAATAGATGTAAACAATATTTATAATACAAACTAATATATAAATTATTACATTAGTAATATATAAACTAAATTATCAATATCAAACACTATTTTTAAATAAAAAATATATACTCTATGTACATCTCAGTATAATTCAAATTCAAAGTTTATTCTCTATAAGTATTACAATGTTGAGTTTACAGAATTTGGTTATTGTGTGGTTTACATGTAGTAAAATAATAATTACAGTGTACCACTGGAACACCTAGCATGGCTAGGCATTACAGAGTGTACCACTAGAACACCTAGCATGGCTAGGCATTACAGAGTGTACCACTAGAACACCTAGCATGGCTAGGCATTACAGAGTGTACCACTAGAACACCTAGCATGGCTGGGCATTACAGAGTGTACCACTGGAACACCTAGCATGGCTGGGCATTACAGAGTGTACCACTAGAACACCTAGCATGGCTGGGCATTACAGAGTGTACCACTGGAACACCTAGCATGGCTGGGCATTACAGAGTGTACCACTAGAACACCTAGCATGGCTGGCATTACAGAGTGTACCACTGGAACACCTAGCATGGCTGGGCATTACAGAGTGTACCACTAGAACACCTAGCATGGCTAGGCATTACAGAGTGTACCACTAGAACACCTAGCATGGCTAGGCATTACAGAGTGTACCACTAGAACACCTAGCATGGCTAGGCATTACAGAGTGTACCACTAGAACACCTAGCATGGCTAGGCATTACAGAGTGTACCACTAGAACACCTAGCATGGCTAGCATTACAGAGTGTACCACTAGAACACCTAGCATGGCTAGGCATTACAGAGTGTACCACTAGAACACCTAGCATGGCTAGCATTACAGAGTGTACCACTAGAACACCTAGCATGGCTAGGCATTACAGTGTACCACTGGAACACCTAGCATGGCTGGGCATTACAGAGTGTAACCACTAAACACCTAGCATGGCTAGGCATTACAGAGTGTACCACTAGAACACCTAGCATGGCTGGGCATTACAGTGTACCACTAGAACACCTAGCATGGCTAGGCATTACAGTGTACCACTAGAACACCTAGCATGGCTAGGCATTACAGAGTGTACCAATAGAACACCTAGCATGGCTAGGCATTACAGAGTGTACCACTAGAACACCTAGCATGGCCAGGCATTACAGAGTGTACCACTAGAACACCTAGCATGGCTAGGCATTACAGAGTGTACCACTAGAACACCTAGCATGGCTAGGCATTACAGAGTGTACCACTAGAACACCTAGCATGGCTAGGCATTACAGAGTGTACCACTAGAACACCTAGCATGGCTAGGCATTACAGAGTGTACCACTAGAACACCTAGCATGGCCAGGCATTACAGAGTGTACCACTAGAACACCTAGCATGGCTAGGCATTACAGAGTGTACCACTAGAACACCTAGCATGGCTAGGCATTACAGAGTGTACCACTAGAACACCTAGCATGGCTAGGCATTACAGAGTGTCCCACTAGAACACCTAGCATGGCTAGGCATTACAGAGTGTACCACTAGAACACCTAGCATGGCTAGGCATTACAGAGTGTCCCACTAGAACACCTAGCATGGCTAGGCATTACAGTGTGTACCACTGGAACACCTAGCATGGCTAGGCATTACAGAGTGTACCACTGGAACACCTAGCATGGCTAGGCATTACAGAGTGTACCACTGGAACACCTAGCATGGCTAGGCATTACAGAGTGTACCACTGGAACACCTAGCATGGCTAGGCATTACAGAGTGTACCACTGGAACACCTAGCATGGCTAGGCATTACAGAGTGTACCACTGGAACACCTAGCATGGCTAGCATTACAGAGTGTACCACTGGAACACCTAGCATGGCTAGGCATTACAGTGTACCACTAGAACACCTAGCATGGCTAGGCATTACAGAGTGTACCACTAGAACACCTAGCATGGCTAGGCATTACAGAGTGTACCACTAGAACACCTATCATGGCTAGGCATTACAGAGTGTACCACTAGAACACCTAGCATGGCTAGGCATTACAGAGTGTACCACTAGAACACCTAGCATGGCTGGGCATTACAGTGTACCACTAGAACACCTAGCATGGCTAGGCATTACAGAGTGTACCACTGGAACACCTAGCATGGCTGGGCATTACAGAGTGTACCACTGGAACACCTAGCATGGCTAGGCATTACAGAGTGTACCACTGGAACACCTAGCATGGCTAGGCATTACAGAGTGTACCACTGGAACACCTAGCATGGCTAGGCATTACAGTGTACCACTAGAACACCTAGCATGGCTAGGCATTACAGAGTGTACCACTAGAACACCTAGCATGGCTAGGCATTACAGAGTGTACCACTAGAACACCTAGCATGGCTAGGCATTACAGAGTGTACCACTAGAACACCTAGCATGGCTAGGCATTACAGAGTGTACCACTAGAACACCTAGCATGGCTGGGCATTACAGTGTACCACTAGAACACCTAGCATGGCCAGGCATTACAGAGTGTACCACTGGAACACCTAGCATGGCTGGGCATTACAGAGTGTACCACTAGAACACCTAGCATGGCTAGGCATTACAGAGTGTACCACTAGAACACCTAGCATGGCTAGGCATTACAGTGTACCACTAGAACACCTAGCATGGCTAGGCATTACAGAGTGTACCACTGGAACACCTAGCATGGCTGGGCATTACAGAGTGTACCACTAGAACACCTAGCATGGCTGGGCATTACAGAGTGTACCACTAGAACACCTAGCATGGCTAGGCATTACAGAGTGTACCACTAGAACACCTAGCATGGCTGGGCATTACAGAGTGTACCACTAGAACACCTAGCATGTCTAGGCATTACAGAGTGTACCACTAGAACACCTAGCATGGCTAGGCATTACAGAGTGTACCACTGGAACACCTAGCATGGCTAGGCATTACAGAGTGTACCACTGGAACACCTAGCATGGCTAGGCATTACAGAGTGTACCACTAGAACACCTAGCATGGCTAGGCATTACAGTGTACCACTAGAACACCTAGCATGGCTAGGCATTACAGAGTGTACCACTGGAACACCTAGCATGGCTAGGCATTACAGAGTGTACCACTGGAACACCTAGCATGGCTAGGCATTACAGTGTACCACTGGAACACCTAGCATGGCTAGCATTACAGAGTGTACCACTGGAACACCTAGCATGGCTAGGCATTACAGAGTGTACCACTGGAACACCTAGCATGGCTAGACATTACAGTGTGTACCACTAGAACACCTAGCATGGCTAGGCATTACAGAGTGTACCACTGGAACACCTAGCATGGCTAGGCATTACAGAGTGTACCAATAGAACACCTAGCATGGCTAGGCATTACAGAGTGTACCACTAGAACACCTAGCATGGCTAGGCATTACAGAGTGTACCACTAGAACACCTAGCATGGCTGGGCATTACAGAGTGTACCACTAGAACACCTAGCATGGCTAGGCATTACAGAGTGTACCACTAGAACACCTAGCATGGCTAGGCATTACAGAGTGTACCACTAGAACACCTAGCATGGCTAGGCATTACAGAGTGTACCATTAGAACACCTAGCATGGCTGGGCATTACAGAGTGTATCACTGGAACACCTAGCATGGCTGGGCATTACAGAGTGTACCACTAGAACACCTAGCATGGCTGGGCATTACAGAGTGTACCACTAGAACACCTAGCATGGCTAGGCATTACAGAGTGTACCACTGGAACACCTAGCATGGCTAGGCATTACAGAGTGTACCACTAGAACACCTAGCATGGCTGGGCATTACAGAGTGTACCACTAGAACACCTAGCATGGCTGGGCATTACAGTGTACCACTGGAACACCTAGCATGGCTAGGCATTACTGAGTGTACCACTGGAACACCTAGCATGGCTAGGCATTACAGAGTGTACCACTAGAACACCTAGCATGGCTGGACATTACAGTGTACCACTAGAACACCTAGCATGGCTAGGCATTACAGAGTGTACCACTAGAACACCTAGCATGGCTAGGCATTACAGAGTGTACCACTAGAACACCTAGCATGGCTAGGCATTACAGAGTGTACCACTAGAACACCTAGCATGGCTGGGCATTACAGTGTACCACTGGAACACCTAGCATGGCTAGGCATTACAGAGTGTACCACTGGAACACCTAGCATGGCTAGGCATTACAGAGTGTACCACTAGAACACCTAGCATGGCTAGGCATTACAGAGTGTACCACTAGAACACCTAGCATGGCTAGGCATTACAGAGTGTACCACTAGAACACCTAGCATGGCTAGGCATTACAGAGTGTACCACTGGAACACCTAGCATGGCTAGCATTACAGAGTGTACCACTGGAACACCTAGCATGGCTAGGCATTACAGAGTGTACCACTAGAACACCTAGCATGGCTAGGCATTACAGAGTGCACCACTGGAACACCTAGCATGGCTAGGCATTACAGAGTGTACCACTAGAACACCTAGCATGGCTAGGCATTACAGTGTACCACTGGAACACCTAGCATGGGTAGGCATTACAGTGTACCACTAGAACACCTAGCATGGCTAGGCATTACAGAGTGTACCACTGGAACACCTAGCATGGCTAGGCATTACAGAGTGTACCACTAGAACACCTAGCATGGCTAGGCATTACAGAGTACCACTAGAACACCTAGCATGGCTAGGCATTACAGAGTGTACCACTAGAACACCTAGCATGGCTGGGC